AACATTCTTGAATAATTTTTCTTAAGTGAGTGAAAGAGCAAGAGGGTGTTTTGTTTATAATGCAGCAACTTTAGTATAAATTCAATTAATATGAATTCTTCTTTAAGGACAGAAATTAGCCAACATGAGTCACAAACTAAGGCAAAGATTTTAAATAGGATTAAAAAAATTAAAAGTGTTCTACATTTGAGGATACCACCTACCATTATATGAGATGAAACTAAATATCCCACAGAGAATATAAATTCTCTTCCCAGCAAAGGCTTACACTAGCTGAGGCCTTGTAGAAGCTGCCCACTAAATACTGCTGCAATATCAAGCCCTTTCTGAGATTTCAAGAGTTTCCTTTAATGTCCTGGATTCATCACTCCAAGAATTTACACAGGGTCTGTAAACTGCTAATTCAGCAGCCACCCTGGTTGCTCGGGGAGGTGGATCACAACCACAGTGCCACAGCCAAAATCCAGCACAGGTGAAAAAGGAAAGAGCATTTATAACCAAAACTGACCATTTGTCTTTTTTTTTTCACCCAGGCTGCTTAAGCTGAAGGAGAAGCCCATTTGGCTGCCACCTGAGTGGCTGCTGGTGTGCCACAGGACATGCAGCTGAAGCAGTGGCAGGTAGGACCACTGGGCAGATAGAGGGACACTAAATCACCTCCCACTACCATCAACAAACAAACAAAGCTGGAAAAAATCACTGTTGCTTAGGAACAACTCACAGAACTTCTCATCTACAACAAATGCTTTGGAGCAGAGGTCAAAAAATAAACCCTGTGTATAAGATGAAGCTGGTGGAAATAATAAAAACAAGCTAAACTGTTGAGTTACAGTTACTTAATACAATTAAGTATTCCCCATGAGAACCTACCTGTGAATGACCTATTTCCTTTTTTCCCCACTGACCTCTTTTTCTGATACCATGGATTAACCCAGCTTGGCCTTCCCCCAGCACTGCAGCTGAAGTGCAAACCAGCACCACCAGCACCAGGCAAGTGCTCCATCGTAACATTTTCCTCCTACACTTGCTGAGCTGCAGCATATACAAACAGGTATGTTTATTCATCTTTTTACTCCCAGAACCTCACTTTAGATTAAATCCTCTTTCATTCCTCTTCCCCAGCGAATTAAGGAGCACGAAACACGCATCATACTCTGTCTTTATTTCTTACAGGCAGATTTTCCTACCATCCTCTCCTAAAAGGCTCTTCTCATTCCCTGGAACATTTTAATCCCTCTTCTCCACAGATGCTCCAGTTTGGCGATTTTTTTTCAGCATAGAAGTGTGTTCAGTATTGCCAGGGAATATGAGAATCCTAGCATGTCTTTACTGAAATTACCTCTTCTGAGGTGCCCCTTTGCATTTTTCATGCATAAGAATAGTGGCTTATGACAGCCTTAGGATCTCAAAAGACAAATAATGAGATGATCTCATGTCATTCTTTAGGCTTGCAGGGATGAAAAAGGGAAAACGTGGAACTACTAAAGACTAAGTCTAACAAGAATAAAACACAAACTAGGCTGCAACTAGAGCTAATAGAAACAAAATGTACCAAGGAGCAATTCTTCAAATATAGTAACGGAAAGAGTTAACATTATATCCAAGAGTAGGCAAAAAGATTTAAAATCCAAAGAACTAGTAGGATTAACAAAAAGACCCCTTTACAGGATCTACCAACTACTCTCATAAATGACTGTCATTCTCTGTGTCATTCTGCTGGATTCCCAACAAACATTTTAATGGTATTTACTGCCAAGGAGAGCCCTCTCACTGCTGTGACTCGAGGTCCTCAATAACTACTTGTCTGTTGTGAAATCTAATGTGAAGGACAAACACTACCAGTCCATAGCACACTCAGTTCTACTAAATTGCTTAATTAATATATTCAATACAAGTGACAAATTATGTTACATCCTTTACTTTCATGTCTTTAATTATCCTGTCTTTCAAAACATTTAAAAAGTCTTACATCACATGGTCAGTTTAAAAGCCAAAGATGTATGGCTATGAGCTGATTGCATCATTTTATTTCCTTCTTTCTTACACATTTCAGCTCAAACAGCTTTTTGCCTAGATTTAAGACCTAAGAAGTATGTAAATATATTCCTAAACACACAATATGAGGTAAATATGAAGTGTTATGTGAAGGGAAAAAAACAACCCTGATTTACTATATAAAGAAATGGACTTCTAGTAATGTTAACATTCAGGACAAAATAATCACATTCTAAAAGAGTCAAATGAAAATATTCACTCGGTGACAAGCAGGAGTCAAAAAGAACTGAGTAAAATGCAGGCAAAAAGCACTAGTGATGTTCTTGTAACCTTCAGGGAAGGGAAGAAGGTTCAGGAAAAGGTACAATTTGATAACTTTTTTTTTTTTTACTGTTCAGAGACAGCTACAAAGTAGAAAAAACCCAACCTAAACCTTACAAACGTCATGAACGTTCTTATAATTTTATGCATGTTAACTCTGACATAATTGTCCCATGGAAATCCTTCAGCATATTACTGCAAATTACTCAAGGTCTGAAGGAACATACTACAAAACATGCAAAAGCATTTAAAGAAATTCCATTTACACTGTCTTCTGAAATGCTTTGACATTAGCTTGTGTGTAATCTTGTCCACCTGACAGGCTCTGTAACATTCAGGTTGCTGTATTAATGCATACACATATTCAGAATAAGTGCATAATTTAGTGCTCAGTAAGCTGTGGCTAATGCATTAAGCAGTAATGCTCATCTCAAAAATATTATTTTATTTGATACCATGCTTCAAGTAACGGATGAAAACTGGCCTTCAGCCTTGGCCCTCAGAACAATGCAGGTTACTTGACAAAACATCACACAGTCTGTACAATTATTTACAATGTCTCAAGAAACTTCACTGAAAACCATCCTTTTGCTTCACACAGTTAGCTTTAATTAATTCTCTGTAGATTTTTAATCAAACTGTGTAAAAGATCAAACTACTTCCTCAGATAGAGCCGAAATTCTTGAAAATGTCTCTTTTTTGGGAGTAGGCTAAGTAGGCAAATTTATCAGTTTCACCTGGAGATGATGCATATTTTCACAGCATGAATATATGAAATTATTAACCTTTTCCATCAGGATTCTGCTCATACTCTTTTTTTCCCCCTATATAGTTTTCAATAAATTTTAACATCATGTTTTATACATCTCACTCATCAGACTCTATACAATCCTTTTCTTTCCTAGTTAAAGAAGTTGTTCTGTGAACGTTTCTTCTTAGGCATGTATTTAATTTTTCTCCTAGGTGTCCTTGCTGCAGCTAAACTGGAAAACTTTGTTTAAAGGTGATCAAGATTTTGTGGACACTCTTTTTCCCACTCCCCAAATGATACCTCACATCTAAATCTCATTTGGGAATTTTCATCTTCTCAGCTACTTATAGCCCTCATCCTTGTTTTGGTAAAGCCTAGGGCAGCACATGTCTTTTGGCATAAATCATAAATGAAAAGCTACATAAGACACCACATTTCATTGCATTTAAGCCATCTGGCCCATTTAAAAGCTATCGATATTTAATCCAAGATTGATGAGAATGAACAAACTGAATGTCGAGTACCCCTTAACATTTTAAGGAAAAGGGCACAATGAGAACAGCTCTCCCTGGCCATCTTAACAGTACATTTTCCTTAAAAGGGTCACTATGAATGGTAGCACAATATGGTTAGTTCAGCCTCCCCTGCTCACAGAGTCCTTGAACACCACGTTGAAATAGGCAACACTGGGCAACCAACATCAGCAGCACCTTGGGTGCTTCCTTATATGCTCACTAAGCACCAAAGGACTGAAATTGCATCTCCCATACTTGACACACTGCTCTCAGTTTACTTATCAGGGCTGGTTTTACAGTCAATGTTTTTTACATTCTCGGTTCTCTCTCTGAACCTCTTCTTTTATTTTATCCATGGCACCCAGTCATTGGCTTTCAACTTCACACCAAACACTTTCTTTCCCAACTTAAAAAGATTCCAAGTTGATTTTCAGAGTAAGCAATACTAAGAGGAATCAAAAAAAATAAAACAAAAAATCCCCCAAGTCAAATAACTTGCTGAAATAATAAAAGGACTGCCTGGAAGCTGACTAGAGTTCAAGGGGGGAAAAAAACCCAATCCACATAGAAATCTTTTATTTATAAGTTCTTTTTTTCATGTTTACATATTATGCAAGCATAACTAGTAAAGACCTAGTGCTACTGCTGTTTTTAAAGAAGAAAGAAGGTGTAGTAATGCCTGTGTACTCCCACCTCCTTCAGCATAAGAGGAAAAAGAAAGTTAAGTGAATAACAAGTGATCCACATTCCCTGGCTGTACAAAACATACTCTGTACTTCTTGAGGATGCCCAGGTTCAGGATACGTTGACAGGACAGTTGAATCGTTTGGTTTGTGTGATTTTTAGGAAGGAATCTGTTTCTATCACAAACTCTTTAACTGCATGTGTACAGAAGGCAATCATTTCACTGCAGATAAAGTACAAGCCTTCTCTGGAATCCACACTGGGAGAGACTACATGAAAAAGGCCATTTTGCACAATTTCATCTGTCTCATGGCACGATCCCACACATCCAATATGAGAAAATGAACTAACTATTTAATATTTGCATACAAATTACATATTTTTGGGGTTTGAGGCATGGCTCCCTCTGTGATCTTGGGCCAATTTCTGAACCTCTCTAAATCTCTGCTTCCTTATTTGCAAAGCAGATTAATATTAGCTATGCAGGATGGGGTGAGGCGTAATTAACTCAAGTCTGTAAAGGGTTTTCTGATCTTCAGATACAATGTAAAAGAAGGACTAGAAAAATTCATTTAAAAAGCAAAGAAGCATGTAAGCCCATGGCCACACAACAAACATTTGGCATATCAACTTCATACAGAAAATTTTTACTAACATTTCTTTGCAGTAGCAGCAAAAATTATATTAGCAGAAAGAATAAAATATGTATATTAAAAATAACTTAATTCACTTACTTCTTCCTAATTTCTAGGTCTGAGACTGGAATACATCTGAGGCCAGCTCCCAACACCATGAGGGATGAAGTTAGTAACACAGTTACCCTCAGACCTAAGACGAAAAAACAACAGTATTTTACAAGTCAGTAACATTGCAAAAAAAATATTGCTTAAATACATATCTATTTACATACAGTCTCACAGAAGTAACACATATCTCATTCAAATCATAAGCAATTTGGTGCTGATATGAATTCCTGACATACTATGAAATCCTGAGTAACTTTCTAAACTTATACTGCAGAATTACAAAGGCTTCCTCTCGGCATACTAACACACAGGAGCATATCCAAAATCTTTACAGACGTTCTTGAAAGTGAAAAGTGGTAATAAAAGTATCATTAAAATGTACAATATATCCTTTAGAGGCATTGGGGAACATGCTCTAGTATGTGATCTGAAATCTAGGTACACATGAAGAAAAATGTGGACTTGTTCATTCTTCTCCAAGCGCTTAATGAGCAAAGGCACAGCACTGTTATTGCTTTCTTTTGTAATGCAGATATGTATTTCATTCCGGAGAAATAACCATTTATTCAGGGGAAAAAGTGCAAGTATTCTTTTGCAGTCCTTGCAATTAGGCCAGGTTTTTGCTGCTCTCAGCTCAAATTGTCTGAGGTTGTAAATATAGTACATTAGAAAAAAGCCACAATTGACTGATAACTCGAGTATGTTTTTTCCTCATACTGCGATTCTCGAATGAGAAGCACTTAGATTAGAAACAACCTTATCTTAGCATTGCAATTCCTTTTGCCAGCAGTGTATTTGCTGCTGCTAAGGTGTTTCCATCAGCAGCTGAGAACAGTGACACCTGAGGGGCTCCAGAATCTTGTAAAACACCAGTATCATAAATATGCACAATTAAAAACCACTGATAGAGTCTACATCTGTGAAGTTGTAAATTTTGAAACAATTTCACAGCAACAAATAGAAAATAAAGGGTTTCCATGTTCTTAGTAGAACATAATAAAAATTATTAATGATGACGAATATGTAATATCTCTAACACTTAGGTAAAACTAATTGCTACTCAAAACATAAATGGAAAAACAACAAGTCTCTATGATAACTCACCCATCCTTTGATTCTTTCTAAAACTACCCATTTTCAGAGGAGTGCTCCCTCTATGTTAGTCACTCCTGTATTCAGTACAATTACAAAATCACAATATTCTGAGCTGAAAGGGATCCACAAGGATCCTCAAGTCCAACTCTTAAGTGAATGGTCCATACAGGGATCAAACCCACAACCTTGGTGTTATTTGCACCGTGCTCTAACCAACTGAGCTAATCTCAGGGTCAACCAATAGGTATATGAAATATTTTGTCTCCAGTTTGTGAATTTTATGGGAGTTTTAGAGCACGTATTCTACTAAAATGTAATTTAAGTGGTCAAGACATCATTTTGCTCTTACTGCAACAGCTCTTAATGAACCTCATTGACGGGTATGCAACTTCTTGTGCTGGACACTGCACAAACCAAACCAAAGACAAGTTTCTCTCTCAGTCAGCCTTAGCCCAGGAAAACCCAAACAAAAATAAGTTAATGTTACAAGTTTTCTGAAATGGAAGTACAATTTCCTTTGGTATGGCTCAGTCATTAACACAAGGAATGTCACCTGCAGTGATGTGACTCCAAAGGACACCTCACATCCCTAATGCCCTGGAGAAGTATCATCAGCTGAGAATATTTGTTCCCTTGGAGGATTTCCCAATGCTTGCCCAGACTTACTTGCTTGACTTTGTGCTCAGCTGCTGTTAAACTGGTTTTTCAAGTGTGTGTGTTCAGAGAGCCCTAACCAAATGCCTAGATAATATGGCTGTTCAAAACCTTCATGGTCTTCATGTTTGGTGGGCCACCAGCCCATATGAGACTTCATGCCCCACTTAAGTCCATATTACTGCACTGCCTATGTTGTGGGGGCAACTGTTTGTATCAGGATCTCATATGGGATGCTTTTGCCTTTTCTCCTGGGAAATGAATCTGTTAGCACTGCTTTTGTGTATAATGAGAACTTGTATGCAGTAAGAATTAGAATTTTATTGATGGGAAATTGAAACACAAGACTTAACTGAAAAATCTGAAGTTTGCCATTAGGAAACACTGCCAAAATATTTCAGGAAAGCTCTAGTAATGTACATATCACCTTATTTTCCATATAAACCAGGGTCTTTTTGAATTACATTTCACAAAACATGATGTGTTCTGCCTGTCACGAGACACAAGGACAGAGACAGCCTGGAAGGTGCTGCTCATGGGGTGCCACAGGAGGTACTGGCCTGGGGCAAGCCCAGGGCACAGCAGTAAAGGAGTATTATACAAAAATTAAAGACACAAGATGAGTGTTTACATACAAAGAACTTCTATTAGATTTTTAATTTTAAAAATATCCCCAAAGCAAAAAAATACATAAAGCAAGAAAGCTTAAAATTCAATCTGCACAAAAGTTTCCTAAAAAAAAAAAACAAAAACAACAACAAAAAAACCTCCCACCTTACAATTCAGTGAAAACTGAATTGGATGCCGAAGTTTGCCTCCAGCCGTAAGCTTAGGCTTATCTTTAATGTCAACCTTACACGCTGGGTAATCTTAAAGTAAAATTATCAGTTAAAGCCCCACAATCGTGTTCTTGATCTCTCCAAACATTCTTTGAAGTCCTAATCTTGAATACTATACACTGCAAGGTATCACTTGTAAATGTTTGGATTGCACAGAATATTCTTTGGCCTTCTTTCTTTTCTTTCCACCTTAACATGTAAACACCCCCCTGAAAATTCCTTTGGTTAATGCTGCATTTTGGAAATGATGACATCAAAGGGAATAAAAGACTGTCAGATAAGCAGTGTATTAGATATTTTCTTTGCTAATTACATGACATATTCCTACTTTCTAAGCATCTTGCCCTGTTATTTCGCTTTACGTTTTAACTCTCTGGATCCATCCTCTTTTTCATCTTTGTTAGAAATTGGACTTTATTAGTATTTCTATAATTATTTCAGTATTTTTGCTTTGAACATTGCAGATGTCCTTAATCTGAATTTGACAGCTTGTATTACTCTAAAAGGTGCACCCCAGAGTGCTTCAGATAGCAACCATGCATCATGGGGACTATAAAACAGAGTAACCAACCAAGACTGAAAAAAAGCCTGTGGATCCTGCAGAAAATTATGTCTCTACTTTAAAGGAGCTAAATAATTCACTCAACCAAGAGATTTTGAGTAGATGTAATTAACTTCATTAATTTTACCCTGTAAATGCAAGCAGCAATTGGAGGGAGGGGGAGGCTACAGCTTTTTTAAATCCATCATTCAGTTTCTAGTCCCCTTCTATCACAGGTTTCTGATACGCGGCCGGAAAGGGAAGAAACTCCTTTAAAGGAGACTTTATCCCAGTGTAGTAAGTTTTCTGTTCTTTAGAGCCTGTCTCTGTAGCTGCTCATTCTCACCCTGCTGCAGGTTTCTGGGCCCCACAGGTGGCACTGGCTCCTGAGCAAACTGTGGCCACGTTCAAAAAACCCAACCATCGTTGACAGTAACAGAAAAGTCCAAGCTAGCAGCAGAAATTGAGCTGGTAATAAAAGAGACATATTAATTATCATTTATGAGTGAAACAGCTGATATTGTTCAACTGTTTAGCCCTCCTGTGGCTCATAACACCGTCTGCTTTATGACTTCAGCAGTCCAAGCTGCATTCGCTGGTTTCTTTTTAAAACAACTACCCCCAAACTCCTGCCACTATTACAGATTTAGCATGAACTCCCCACCCACAGTCCTCTGAACTCTCCTCTTAATGCCCTCCAGCATCGACAGCCCAACACAGAAAACAAGAAAACCCCCACCATACTGGAATGTGGTCTCACACAGGAGTGGGAGGCAGTGGCTGCCAGTGGCACCCAGCTGCTCTCCAGCTCCCTCACAGCAACATCAAGCAAAAGCATCCAACATGTGGGTGCTGCATCCCCCTCAACTCTTCCAGCATGCCTTACTTCCACGATGCTTTTTAAAGTCCATGAAAAGAAAATGCATTCCCCTATCTCCCTCATTACTGACTTGTAACCCAGCAAGTGATTTATCATGCCCAGTTTAAGAAACTTCATAAAAGATGTTGTATGGCTATAATGAAGTCCTCATTCCAACTACTTATACATTGCAGTTTGTCATTCAGAAAGAGAACACGGTTAACATGTCCCTGTGCATCCCTCAGCTGGGGCTGGTGTACTGCAGCCCACTCTGTTCCCCAGCTACAGACCACTGCAAGCAGCAGCATCTAGCTCAGAGTATCACATACACAGCAGGTATTGGTTAGGTTTGGTTTTTCCCTCCCCCTCCTAATGGAGCACTCATCTGACAGGGAAATTCTAATTGGATGTGCAAAAAAATAGAAAAGTTTTCACCTTCCTCCTTTTTTAATGGAAGTTTGGCCAGGGGAAAGGCTGACAGTCCTCCACCTGGCATGGCAGCAGCGGATTTCCCTCCTACAGCTCACATCCCCTACTCTTGGATGCATTAACATTTGAGGAGTTTCCTTCCTTCAGCTGCAGATACTAAAATCGGTTCTCACAAATATAGAGCACAACAAGGCTCTAATTAGGAGCGAGTGACATCAGCCTGCTGCACATTTTCATAGTTCTTAAAGACCAGGCTGAAAGCGTGAATGGTCCCTTCTGACACTGAACTGAGAGCATTTTCTTAACTACTCTTATTTTGACTAAAACATATCTAGCTAAGAGAAAATAAACATAAAATTTTGTCTTGATCCACACTCACCAGGAAACTAAAAGCTCACTAATGTCAACAGCTGTTTCAACAACTCACTGTTAAATTGCGCTTTTCCTTCCAATTTAAAGCAAATTCAGTTTTCAAACAAATTCTTGGTTTGCCTTTCTTGATAAAAGAAAGCACAGTTCCTGTAAGTTTCCTTCTATGAAATAAACCAATAAAAAAGAACTTTTACATTTGGGTTCAGTAAGCAAAGTATTGAGCTCCAAGTCTTCCACAATTTTTTTTTGGTCCTGGGATTGTCTTGTCTAAATGGCCTCCTTGGTTTTCAAGC